GATGTTCATGAAAAACGGATTGGTACCTGATGCTCACTTCACGCTAAACGGAAAGAATATCTCCGAATGCTCTAGCTATGTGTANGATGAACGGCCTAGCTCTGGAGCTGTGCAGAAGGAAACGCGCCGCGTGGGGAGCATTTAAGAATATCGAGGAATTAAAGAAGAAGACAGAACATCCGGCTCCGCGCTCACCTTTTCGACCCTGCTGTCCTTCCTGCATTGACGTGCGCCTCGGAGACTTGGACTCTACGGAAGCAGGATGAGCACGCTGTCAGCGTTACTCAACGCGCTTTAGAAAGGACGATGCTCGGAATCTCCCTATACACGCAAGTGCAGAAGGGAATCCGGAGTTCTGAGCTTCGTCAACGAACGAAGATCAGGGATGCCGCTGATTGCACCAAGAAATCGAAGATTAGGTGTTTCGGACATGTTATGCGATATAGTGATGACCGTTGGACCAGGACGGTTACTGACTGGATCCCTCGGAACATCAAACGAATCCAAGACGGCCACCAACGAGATGGTCAGACTTCTTCACAAAAGCTCAGAACGAAAAGAATGTTGAACCTCGTGTCCCTGAAGCGAGAACGATTCACTGGACCACTCTGGCTAGTGACAGGGACGAATGGAGACGTTACTGGCGCCCGCTCGAGGAAGTCGATGATCAACGGGACGACAGGTGATACAGGAGATACCATCAACCACTTTCCCGCTTCTAGAATATTTTTGAACAGACTCATGAGTTTTTGATCTTAGTCCGCCCACCTTATGCTTGCTCCGCCTACCCCAGTAATTTAGCCACATTCTTTCCATCACCTCCAACCACTCTTTTCCAGCGTTTAGGACGTTTTTAGGCAGAGTTATGAATTTTTAAATTCACCCCGAACATCTTACCAGAGAGGGGTAGTCTACTTACCGTGGGACTTTGATTGGAGATCCAGATAAATTGATAGAGTTTCGAATGCTATTCACGAAAGTAGAGATTAAAACTGCTAAATGGTTTTCCTTAAAACGTTATGGGGGCTGGAAAGCTTGACAGTAGTATTATTTGGGTATGCGAACTCGTCGCCTCGGTATCGAGTGCCGACGTGGCATAGTGGTAGTAGTCTCTCTTCATAGGCGTAGGGTGCGGGTTTGCTCATCGCCATCGTCGACATTTTTGCAAAGTGTTTTTAATTGCATTAAAGACTCTAAATCTTTTCTGACATTTATTTAGATGAACGCCTTGTTTCTGCTTTCATTTTCACTCGTCACCCCTGTTCAGAAAAAGTGGTCCTGCACGTCAATTGTTTATTGTGTCTCTGTTTTAATTCAAACTCCAAGAAACATGCAATAGAAAGATACTAGAGATAAGTTAGATGCTAGCAAAAAACTCAACATTGATGGAAAAACTTTAAAAAATGCGTGAAGCACACATGTTGTTTGCAAACTGCGCGTCTTATACATGCTGTTTCTCTACATCCGGTGACAAAACAGTCAATCGTCTCAGTACTGAACAAATACTTGGCCGGTGTGACGCAGGAACGTGGGTATTCATCAACATATCCAGCTTTGTACCAAAAGCATTTCAGAAAATAGAAAAACGTGGTGCACAAAACATTCGA